TCTACCATCAAATCGGATCTGACTGGTACAGGAGGAGATGGTCCCTCCTTCTTCAGCAGAGCATCTGGTGGATTTGAACCATGCACCTCTGGGACTGCAGTGCAGCTTCTTGCCACTGGGCCACCAGAGCTCGCCTTTATACCTTATTTTTCACACCAGATCTTTCCCATTTGTTTCATCTATCTCTCCCTCCACCCATCAAATTGTGTGAACCTATGATCAACCATCCCTGTCCCCCACCCCATCCTCACCTCTCTGCCTCCCCCTTTCTTCTCCTTGGATCCTCATATACTCTCTACAATAATGGTCTTATACAGTATTTGTCCTTATACAAGATGGGATTAAGTTAGATCACTTAGCATAATGCTCTCCAGCCCCTCCCAAGTTAGGTAGTGATTTACAAAATCATTGCTCCTGTGTGCTGCATAGTATCCCATCATGGGAATGTACCATAATTTCTCAATCCACTTGTTTGTGCTTGGACATTTTGGCTGTTTCTATGTTCTTGCAATGGTGAATAATGTTACTATGAATACTGGTGTACAAGTCTCTATTTGTGCCTCAGTTCTCATTTTCTCAGGGTATATTCCAAGCAGTGGAATAGCTGGGTCATATAGAATGTTTTGAAGAAGCAACAAACTGCCTTCCAGAGTGGTTGCACCATTTTACAATCCCACCAACAATGTTCCTATCTTTCCACATCCTCTCCGTAACATTTAGTACTTGCAGTCCTGTTAAACTTTGCCACAACTACTGGAATGGGATGATTTTGATTTGCATCTCTCCTATTGTGATTTTGAGCATTTCTTCATATGTCTGTTGGTCATCTGAATATCTTTCTCTGTGAAAAGTCTATGTCTTTTGCCTATTTTGTTATTGTGTTATCAGTGTTTTTCTTGTGGAGGCTCTGTAGGATTCTGTAAACTTTTGATATTAGACCCTTGTCTGAAATAGTATTGTCAAATGTTTTTCTCCCAGTCAGTAGGTTTTCTTTTTACTCTGTTGGAAAAAGTTTTTGATATGTACAGGAATTTAATCTTTAGAAGGTCCCATTCTTCAATGTTTTCCTCTCCAGATTGAGCATTTCTGGCTCTCTGGCCTTCTTTTGATTGCTGATATTGAGCTTCTTCAGTGTCTCTTTCCACAGATGTCATCAATTTGGTACTTGTGCAGTCCATCAGCTCAGATTCATGTGTGGTCCATAATTGTTGTTCATGTTCTTTTTAAAAATGGTGTTTGCAATGAATAAATCATTGGCTATCCTGATGGGAAAAGTACAATATTCCTTCTTGGTTTTTTTACCCTTGCAGAGACTGGGGTAGTGAGTTCCCTCAGTGCCCACCACCAAGTGGCTATCAAGTTTCCTTGACTTTTCCTTTGGCTCTGGCTGAGGTTAGACCCTTACTCTATGTTTAATTTGGAGCCTAGAACTTATAGGACACTAAACTCAAGGTTTCCCTTTGCCTTGGCCTACACTCATTCCCTGGATTTATAGGATTATAGGATTAGCAGTGCATCATTTGCTGATGGCACTATTCTTAGAGATAGATTTCAGTTCAGTAGTGACTATCACTTCAAGCTAGCCATCTCTGACTGTTACCCACCAACATCCACTCCCTAGACTGGCAAAGCCATGATCCCTAGCCAGGCAGAATATAAGAGGTTCTTCTGAGTCCAGTAGAGGCTCTTCTGAGTCCAGTAGAGACTCTATAACAGGTTGGGTGCCTCATCCCTGGGCAAACACTTCAAGGCTAGACATCCTGTTTACATTCACAAAGACAACAACACTTAATAGGAGGCAACAGATAACCTCCTCAAACCAGGCAAAACCCAGGATAAGATGGAACAAAAAAGTGATCAAAATATGGAACAAGAAAATCTTTCTGAAAGAAGAAAAGCTATTGGAACTTCCTGTTAAGGAATTCCGGAAAATGTTATTTAAATGTCTTCTATGGACTGAGAAAAATGTAGAAAACCGAATAATTATAAAAAGGAGGTAAGACCAAACAAAAAAGGAGGTAAGACCAAATAGACAAAATAAATGGTAAGTGAGAAGCCATCCAGAAAAAGCAAAGAGAAATTACAAATATTAAGATCACAATTACAGAATTGGAGAAAAAAGAAACTACATTACAATCCTGAAGGTACGCGTTCCAGTGTACCAGCTGCTTGGCGGGAAAAGGATGGTCGATCTCCCCCTGTGTTTTAACAGCCTCTGAAAATCCGCTGGAGGGTCAGGTATGGATCGATTCACACTGGATAGTACACAAGGACAAAAGAACAGAACTGATAAACTGGAAGACAAATTCCTCAGCACTGTTAGTAGAACAATGCGGGGGTGGTAAGGAAACAATATATAGAAAGTCCGTTACAAAGCTTGTCTCAAGCCCATCTCTTTCTTTCTAAGGAATCTCATTGTGCCAGAACCTGTGCAGAAATAAAATCGTTATAGGCTGAGTCGTGGTGGAGGGAATGGATGATGGTTGCAATATGAGAAAAGTAGCCGTTTCAGACTGCATATTATCTCTTAACTGCAGAAATTAAGCAAATGCTTTCCATAAATAACGTGTCTTGCACGTTGCTAAGCAAGTGACTCCCAAATATTTATTTTCTTGCAAAATAACAATAGAGATATCACTAGTAGTGTGGTTGTCAAGATTAAATAAAATGGTTGATATCGTTAAGTGTCTAAGCACAGTAGCACACGAAGAATCAGATTTCAAAGACTGGACAAAAATGACCGGGATTCAGTCTGATTCGAAGTTTGGGTAGAGTCGAAGAGGAAGGGCTCAGTAGACTGGTACAGTGAAGTGGGCAATGCGAGGAGAGAGTTTTACACTGCACAATATTGAGCTTTGAATCAAGCGCGGTGGCTTTTCCTGTAGCCAATCCTAGAATTGCATTTTTGTGCGTCATTTGTTGCTGAGGCTCAGAGACAGGCGTCTCTCACGGAGATTATTTCTAGCCATTGCAGTTGTACCAATGATTGACTCTTGCGTGACCATGATTTACAACTGAGGTCAGACATAAGGTCTCAGTCACCTCCTGGAGCATACAGGCCTGAAGGAAACTCTAGGATAGTTTCTGTAAACATGCAGAGAGACATCAGGTTTCCTTTTAGTGGAAGCTGCTGGCCCGCGTTCTTGTAGTACCAAGATTCCAGTTCTTCCTACTCGACTCGCTAGAAAAGAAGTTGTTTTATTTGGGAAGGCGAGTCAGGTAAGGAACCTACTTTGCGATGGTATCGGTAGTGGGGTTATCTTAGACTGCCCCTGGATCCTGGCTCTTTAAACTTGAGGGGGCGGGTCCGGAAGTGGATGGGCGGGGCGAAAGGCCCTGGTATATAAGAGAGCCTCAGCCGCGCGGGATCTCTAATCTGCCATTTTCTGTCCTAAGTCTTTCATATTCCTCAATCCCAGTTTTCCTCACAAGCTTTACTCCGTTTCGCTAGTCTGCCACCTCAGGAGAACGATGGCCGCAGAGTGTACAGCCACTGCCGCCATTCCTTCGGAGCTGGTTCCCGCCGACAAGTAAGCTTGGATGGGGAGAGCCTGAGGCACTGACCAGTCCGCGGGAGGGGGTGGCGGCCCAGGCTTCACAGGAGATACAGAGTAGTGGGTTGGAGGATTTTCTTCCCGGTGAGGCGTTGTCGCTGTTTGGAGAGAGCCAGGTGCTCAAGAAGCCCACTTATTGCTGAGAGCCTCGCGTATTGGTGGTTAACCCTAGTTGGCTGGCGCCCCCTGCCCCGCTTTTCGTGGCCGCCATCTTGCTGGGGGCCTCGGCGAGTGTCTCCATCGCCTACCCCTCTTTCCTCCCCGAGCTTGAGGCTATCGACAGAGGCGGCGCCCTGGCGAACCAGTTTTGCCCACACGCCCCTAGTGTTAGTTACCGCATTCCCAGAGCGCGCTTCTCACACAGCCCTCAGATAACAAGGAGAAATAACTAACAGATTTGGCGCCAAAAAAAAAAAAGTACTGCACGAGGAAGCCCAGACCCACAGGGTCGGGAGGGGGCGGTCCCCTCGGGTGGGCGGGGTCTCGCCAATGTTCGCTTCTCTATCGGCTCTGGAGTAGGGGGCGGGGTCCCGAGGAGGCGGGAAAACTCTATTGTCTGCTGAGGCCACTCTGGCGAGAGCTTTGGACTTTCGCGGTAGGGGCGCTGTGAATTTTCTTCCCCTATTGTCGCTTTTCTTACTTCGTGTTCTTGCCTCCCGTATCCCAGCCAACCCTGAACCCCTGTCTTTGGTGGGGAACTTAAGGGTTCTTGAGACTTAGTGGGTGTCGTGGGAGACTGGGCGCCTTCTGAGTGGCACAAAATAAGGACTCCTATCTTCGCACATGTTTTGTTGCTAGGTGAATGGACAGTCTGTGCGAAATGTAAAGACCTGAGAATTATAGGATTGCTTTGAAAGTGACGAAGTTCCATCCAGACTTAAGATTCTTTATAAATAATGAAGGGAGAAACGTAATTTTTTTCTTTTTTACACATCATGCTTGAAAGTGGTTGCTGTGAAATTTTTATTATTCCCTAAAGGCTTAAACTTTGTCAGTGGTAGTATTTTTCCAGTCAACAGCATGCATTTATTTTTGTTTTTTAAAATGGGGAAACAATATTAGAGTGTTGGTTTCCGTTAGTATATCATGAAGTAGTCAGGTTAAATAACTTCTAGATTAACATGTGGCACAGAAGCAGGGAAAGTTAAACCTTTATTTACACTTTTTTTTTTAATAGTTAAACTTTTCATTTTTCTTTACTGAAAAGTTCACCTGGGAGGAAAATGGCATGGAAACTTAATTAGCTGATTTAGGAGAACAGTGAAGGCAGTATATCTACTATGGTGATTCAGATGTGAAGAAAAGAATTTGAGTTTAAGCTTGGATAAGAATGTACATTGGCATATTCACTGAAAGAAAACATGGAATATGAAATAAGGCATAGTTTGGAGTTGCTTATTATATCAACTTGTTAAAAGTATTGATGGTGAACCAATTTTGTTTCTGTAAATGGCTTCAAGTGGCAACTCTTAATGCCATAAACAACTATGCCAAGGTTAGTACTTGTCTAAATAATAAGGCAGCCATACCTTTTTAATTAGTTCTAAACTTTTTTGTTTATATTAAAAGATGAAAAAAGAAGAACATTTGTACTATGTTAATTGGGAAGAATGAGAATGCTGGAGTAAAGAGTCATACTTGTTAATTTTAGCTTAACTGTCTTGTAATGGATTACTGAATTAATTTCTTGCATGCCGACCCTCCTGGGGGAGGTTAGAGGTGGTACATCACATAGAAATTGATTGTTCATCTTCTTCCATTGCCTCGCCCCCAGCACCCCTAGCTGTTGGTTTTGAACTAGTGTACTTTTGTATTGTCATTGTGATTCTTTTTAACTTTTTGACCTCACCAGCATCCTCATAGTGTCGCCTGTGACTTTTCTGAGGCAAGCCCCAACTCTGAATATCCTCTGCAGCAAATTCAGTTGGGCTTTTCACCCTAAGCACACAACCTAAATTCAATCTTACACGTTAAAAGCACTCCAGACTACCAAGTTTGCCCTCACTTCTGGCCTGCTGGCTACAACATTGGAGATTCTCATTACTTGTTTTAGGATGATCCACAGAATTCTGTAAAGTGCTAAACTTAAAATTATAATTTAGTTGAAAAGATACAAATATAAAACCACGGGAGAGAATTCCAAGTATACAGTTTCCCTTTCCCACAAACTAACATGCCACCACTTAAAGCACTGTCACCAACCAGAGGGTTGGTTAACTGATCTGCAATCTCCAGGATTTTCATTGATTGATTAATTGAACTCAACCTACTATTCTCTGCTCACCTGAGCTTTGGCTAACTTTATGAAGTGGGACTTTATGAAGCTATCTTTATAAAGTGAGTCGTTCATAGGGCTGCTGTGAGTCTTCTTTCTACTACTCAACAGCACTTAAAAATAACAATGACAACATAGAGTCGTGTTTGCCTAGTGGACAGAAAGTTATGCTACCAAGCTCAAGGTGGGTGATTTTTAATCTGTGGCACCCAGGCCTGGTTTAAATTGGTTTTTGTCAAACATTCTTACGTGGTATACGAATGGTCTGTGCATTGCTGTAGAGCGGTAACTCGTGGTTGCTGTGATGCTAAACACTGTGACACTGATGTGACAAAGGTGATAATTAATGGTTACTCATGGTGGACAGTGTTTGTTGGAGCTCCCAAATTAAGACAGGTTTGGAAGGAGGAACGGTGTCCACTTTGTAAACAACATGCCTCTGGAAACTCTGAACTTAGAGAATAGACAATAGTTATAGAAAGGCTTCAGGTATTTTGTTCATAGGGTTGTTATGAGTCATGCTCAAGAACAATACTAGTTTATTACAAAGTTCAAATACACTGTGTTCCAGAACAGATTCTTCCATTTTCCCTCATTCCCCACCCATCAAATTGTACAACTCCATGAATAATCTCCCCGCACATCTGCAAAATTTGAATACATTGTTTTCCACAAAAGATCCTCCCCATTTCCTTCAGCCCCCCACCCATCGAATTTGCAACCCTATGGTTAACACCCCACTCCCTGAACTTGTATTTTTTTTGTTTTACTACTTGCCATGTTTTGCAAGCATTCTTTTTTATAATTAATTTCAATGAACATGTACAGAGATTTTGGATTTCCATT